AAATTTTCTGACGTGTTTTGTGAGTTTTTTTTTAATTTTTCAGAAAACTTATGTTTTAAAAACTCAAGATTTCAAATTTCCAACCCTAGAGTTGGGTTCTGTGATGGTACTTCCAGGAGTTCCAAATACAGTTTTTGAGTCGAAATGTGAGTGCTCAAATGCTTTTAGTTTCTCACATGTGATGTTTGTTAGGTAATTTTTGTTTACATGTCATAAGAAATTACATACAAAAAAATCACAAAATTTGAGGCGCGTCAGGTTACTCGATAATGAGGCGCGTCAGGTTACTCAAGAGCTGCAAAACTTGACTCCTGCAAATGCGACTGCCCCATGAAATGTCAATTTACATGTAATTTTAAAATTTTTCTAAGAACTTAGATATAAAAAAAATGCCATACATTTTTATGGTTTTTCAAAGTTTGAATTAGAAAAACCTTGATCATAAAAATCATTACAAAAATAGAAATAACCAACCCTATAATTGGATGCTGTCAGAGTTTACTCAAAAGATGCAGCTCTTATTTCCAATAGATGCGTTTTTTATGAGTTAGAAAAAACTAGAAGCACCGGAGGTGCGTTACAAGCTAGTTGAAATTAAATTCAGCTGTTAGCGATGAACATTATTCAAAAGCAAAACAAATAATAACATTTCAACCAAAAACATTATTTGTTACTATATTATTTGAGAGAAAAATTGCAACATGAATTTCCACCTTGTATACAAGAGTTCCGAGAAAAAAAAGATTGCAAGCAGACATTTCACAAAGACAATCACAAAATTTGCATCTCAATTTCACCATTTCATCTACAATCTAACTTAAATTGACGCAAAAATTAGTGTCGGCCATGTGTGATGTGATTGTTCCGGCTTTCATAACGAAAGTAACGGAATATTTGTGCTCGGGATGGGTTTTTTTTTCTTCAGACAAACTTCGACTGTTTGACGGAAATTTTGTTTAATCATTCAAAAGTTATTGTTGTCCTGAGCTTAAAATTGAAAATTTATTTCACCTGTGATCTTTTTTCCTAAAGTTATGGGGGTTTAAAGAGTGTCATTTTGGCCAATTTGGGACAATTAACGCGTGAAATATTTCGCGCAATTAACGCGTAAGCGAGATTTAATCCGTCTTAGAAATCGTTCCAAATTGGTTCAAGGAAGCGTATATGCAATAATGGTGTTGTTAATAGGAGCAAAACCTATCACTTTGTCCTTAATATGGCATGTGGGTTTTTTTTTCTTAAAAAATCTCAAATTTAGAAAAGCGAAAGTTTTATTTTATTACATTTAAATCTTTCATGTTGTTTCTGCTCCATAGACCTTAAAGGCAGTCGGAAAAATCAGGGCTTTGCCCTGATATGAGCAATCTTGTTTTGCCTTAATCTTCAAAAAGCGCAAAAAAGCAACAACATTATTGATTTGGAGTTTAAAATAATTTTGGATTGTAGAATGATTTCCAAAATAAACGTTGATTGAATTCTAGCTTCAGAACATCAATTTTTTTTTTCTGACGAAGTATGCGAAAAATTTTTTAGAAATCCTTCCTAACAACTTACAAAAAGAAAGTTGCACAATTTTTCTTTAATAAATCTTTGCGATCAGTAAATTAGGCTCTAATAAGGGTTAAGTTTGAAACTTAATTTCGTTTGTTTTTGAACCCTGTTTGACCTGTAAAGACCGAAAATAAAAATACTAATCACTGATTTCCATAAACTAAGTTTATAAAAAAATATTAGTCATAAAAATTTCATGCATTTTGCTTAGATGGTGTCATCGTAATTTTAAGAACTGTTTTTTTTGTTGACTTTTTTCAAAGTTTTCGCACAACTAAGCAAGATATTAACCAACAAACATCCTAAATTGCAATAAAAAACAATTTTTGAATTGATTTTTTTAAAATGAGATGATGATTTGCTTTAAAACATTTTTTTTCATGAGGTTTGTAAGGATAAGAAAAATAAATCATAAAAAGTTCTCTTTTCAAGTGAACTATTTTCGTTTTGGTGAAAATTGAGGGAAAAATGATTTTATCTTGGGAAACACAAATTATCAAAATTTTAAGCCGTGTTTCTTGAAAAAAGAGTGCAGCAAACACTTGAAAATCAATTAAAAAAAGCGGCACAGAAACGAAAAAACGGAGTTGTTTTTAGTATTCAATTTAAAAGATAAAACAATGTTTTTGAAAGGTTTATGAGTATTGTAAGGACAAAATATCATTAAACGAAAAATGATTTTATCTTGGGAAACACAAATTATCAAAATTTTAAGCCGTGTTTCTTGAGAAAAGAGTGCAGCAAACACTTGAAAATCAATGAAAAAAAGCGGCACAGAAACGAAAAAACGGAGTTGTTTTTAGTATTTAATTTAAAAGATAAAACAATGTTTTTGAAAGGTTTATGAGTATTGTAAGGACAAAATATCATTAAACGAAAAAATCAAAATGAAAGAGGATTTTCACTAATTGAAGAAACACATTTATCAACTTTTTTCCTTTAGTGTTTTTTCAATGGATTAATTCAAACATTTTCCTAAATTTTGAAATTACCAACCCTGTAGTTGAGTGCTCTGGGAGTACACTCAAAGGATGCTGATAATATTTCCAATATATGCTTTTTTACGAGTTGTCAAAAAATTAGAGCACCGCAGAAGCCTAACATGCTAGTTGAATTTAAATTCAGTTGTTAGCGATGAACATTATTCAGACGCTAAACAACAGATAACAAAATAGCAAAAGACGTTTTTTGACAAAACAAATAGAGAGTTCTAAGACTAAACTAACTAAGAGTTCTGAGAAAACTAGAATTGCAAGCAGATATTTCTCAAAGATAAACACAAAATTGTCAACACAAGAGTTCTGAGAATGACCCATCAATTACTGTCCCCTATAAGTGATGTAATTTTATTTGATTCCTAAAAAACGCAAAAGAGCAACAAAAAAGGAATTCGGAGTTTTAAAAACTTTGGAGTGAAGAATGGTTTCAGAAATCAGCGTCGAGCAAAATCTAGCTTCCGAACATCCCTTCTGTTTCGATGGAATGGAAAATTTTTAAATTTCTTTCTCAACTTACAAAAAACAAAATCGCACACTTTTTTGTATAACTTTGCGACCACTAACCTGCGATAAGATTCGAATAAAAGTTAAATTCTGAGATTTAAATTAGTTAGTTTTTAGCCCAGATTAGCCTCTATACAAAACAGTTTTAATCACACAATTCCATAATTTAAGTCTATAAAAAAAACGTGTCATACAATTTTTATGCATTTTGCTGAAATTGTGTCATCGTATTTTCAAAGAACTGTTTTTTTTCTGTTTGGCTTAAGATTCTGTGTATCTTCATAAATAAAAAAGAACATGTTTTTGTCAAAAAAATGCTGACCAAACAATTTCCATATATGGGTTGGAAATGGTGTTTGAACAGCTTTTTTATAGCGACAACAAAATTTTTTAAAAGTTGTTTCAAAATTGCCACAATGATCAAAAAAAATTTTTCTGGTGAAATTTGAAAGTAGCAAACTTAAATTATTTAACTAAAAAAGAAAAAAAATACATATATCATTTGGAATGATTTTTTGGCAAAGTTAAGCTGATTCTTCATTTTGACTTAAATAAATTGAATTTGCTATTTTCAACTTTTGTCATAACTTTTGTTTTGATCACAGAAAATTTATGCAGAAAAACTTCTTTTCATGCAAAAACCTTTATAAATTGAAATTTTTACATAAGAAATAAACATAAGACTTTTTGTTTGATATGAGTTCTGAGCAAAATTTGGACAATTACTTGGAAAGTTGAGAAATACAGTACTGATTTAAATTATTCGGACAAAATGAGCGAAACTTGTAATTTCAAGCACATTTTTCTGATATTGAGTTAAGATTAGACGGAAGCGAAAAGAACAAAAAATGCTGAGAACTTCATCAGAATAAATATGGTGCAATTTTTTCTCCGGAGATTTCAACCATCATTTTACCCCAAAAATGGGTCATTTTCGCTTTTTTCAATTAATCCAGAATTACGAAACTACTTTGTTAATTGATGAGAATTTTATATCACAAGGAGACTCTTACATAGCTCAACAAAGTTTTAGCAGGGTGAAATTTCCAAAAACCTGTATAAGAGAATTTTTTTTTAAACTTAATTGTCAATAAATGTGATTTTTACTATACAAAACCCAGAATCTTTGCTTAAAAACAACTTTTAAACAATTTGCGCAAATTTTTGGAGACTTAACCCTTCTTAAATTTTGTTGACCTATGTAGGAGGCTTCGTGTGACATATATTTCTCGTCAATTAAAAAAGCAGTTTCAGCATAATTCTTGATCAATTGAAAAAAGCAAAAATGAACCATTTTTGGGGTAAAATTTTGGTTGAGAATTTTGGAGAAAACATTGAACCATATTAATTCTGATGAAGTTCTAAGCAACTTTTGTAATCTTCATTTTTTGTCTGATCTTAACCCAAATTGAGAAAAACGCTTTTGAAATTTCAAGTTTTGTTCGTTTTGTCCGGATAATTTAAATCAGAACTGTAAAGTAGACCAGTAAAGCAATGACTGAGGTTTTCTAATGTATTTATTATGATTGATGAAAATGTTAAATTAAGTGATATAGATTTCTAAATCAATATACGAAAATGAGCACCACTTTGATCGGGTATCTTGACACAACGCGCAAAAAATTCAGAACAAGGCTAACTTTTTCATGGTTTTCTGAAAAAGCAAGAGAGCGATTGCCAGATTTTTTTTCAATGAACTACTCCATTCTTTTTTATACATAAAAGTTGTTTGCAATGCATTGAAAAGAACGATAAGATTTTTTTCTTTGCCTATTTTGCTTTTAATAACGATCAAGAAATCTATTGACGTGTTTTCAAGAAAGTGTTGTGACAACTTTCAAGGTCCAGATTGCCAGATTGTGCAATTACAGGCTGTTCAATCCAGATGCAATTACAAGCTAGCAACAAGCATAATAAGGGTTTGTTTTGGATTCTGTAGATTAAAATAAAACATCGGCTTCTGAAGTAATTGGCAAGTGTCATGAACCATGTAAGTGCCAGATTCTACTTTGTGGATCTTCACATACCAATATAACTCTTCTTGTTGACTTACATTTTCAGCTGCCTATTTGCTATTATTGCGGTTCAAATGACATCTGAATTCTGATTGGTCGAAACACAAGGACAGAACCTCTCTCTCCTTCTCTGATTTAGCTGAAATCTGAAGAGCCAAGCTAAAGTGTCTGAATGGTATAAAAAGTGAATAAGAAATAGGGAATAAAGTTAAATCAAGTAATTCACAGGATTGTGTACGGTGAATTTACAATATGCGCGATTTTATTTGTAGAAAATACTTCGACATTTTTTGGAATTAAGTCAAAAGCCGTCCTCTTTTTGTACAACATTAAACACTCCATTTTTTCAAGTGTAAAATAAAATTAGAGAGAGAAAAAAAAGAAAATATTCTTTTTTGGTCCTGAAAGAAAAATATAGATTTTCAGTCTTACATCCTTGCTTGCTTGAGGTGTTTATTGTAGAAATAGTAGAAAAACCTTCTCAAAATTCCACCGCGGACAATCAAGTCAGCTACCTGTGATTACAATTATCTTTTCCTTAATATATTTGCCCTGCCTACTTACTTGTCTAGGTTATTAGATTGCAGCATATAGGAGCGAGAGTACAGAACTGAAATATTAAATCAACTTTTAACACCCGTATATTCTGTTATTATTTTATATGTCCATAATTTGCGTGCGTCCCGCCCAGTGCAATAAAGCCTGTAGGTAGCAGTCAAAATAAGCCCACTTAACACGACGATTTACCTGGTTAAAATTGGTAAATAGCTGCTCAGACAATACCGTCGTTAATTTTCACTTTTAACCTGGCTGAAATTGCTAATGGTTGAAGGCTTTTCCCAGTATTTCCGAATTCCGGTGATTGAAAACAGAAAATACGGTGCCATATTTTGACGAGCAACCTCTCTTTCTTTTAAATAATGCTCATTCCACTTTTAGTCTCCACTCATAAGTTGTTACCTTTATGCACATAACTTACTTGAAGACTAGTTTATCGTTTTATCTGGTCAGTTTTGCGCACTTTTAACACTGATGTAGTGCAAATTATGACCTCGTAAACCTGAAAAACTGCCCAAACCAAGCTCTTTAAAGGACCAGTAATTCAAATTTACCTTTTCAGAAAGTTTGCCCAAACTGCCATTTAAAAGTTTATCTCCGACCTAGTTCACTCTTTATTGTTGTTTTTATTGTTCTTTTAATGCTCTTAGAGTAAACGAAACTTGGTATACCTTCGCAGCTTTGAGTTTTTTTGATAGCGTTATATGACTCAATAAAATTGTCTTCTGAACAATTTGAGCAATCAGAGCGAACAAAATTTATAGACTTTAGAGCAAATTTTTATTTTTAAGGCTTACAATTATTGCAGCTCTTGTGTTTATAGCTTTTTCTGTAGTTCATTCTTTATCATCAAAAACAGACAAAAAATACTGAATCAATTATCAAAATATTACTTGAAACGATTCAAATAAATTTATATTACGATTGACTCAACTATAAAATTTGATCCGGTCTAGAACGAGGTCAGCCTTTTGAAGAGAGAAGACCTATTTATTGCCAGCACCTTGATAACCTATTTTTACAATCGAAACAGATCTAAAATTGGTCATTAATTCGTCTTACATCTTATTCAAGTTCATTAAGCTGGACACTTTTTATTTTAATCCAATTTCAGTTTATCGTTGCTCTTAAATCGTTTGCCAACTAAAACTTAAATTATCAGCAAACTTGGATGATGTTTTCAAATTGTGTCTCAAATAACTTGTTGAAGCTATTTATAGCACTCTCAGGTAAGCCTTTATTATGCAATTCTTTAAAAAACTTTTTTTTTCTAAAATATTTATATTTATTTAAATCGAAGACTTTTTAATTATTTCTATAATTCAGCATATTTGTTTTCAACAAAGTTTCCACAAAATTAACTTTTTGTAAACGGCCCAAAATTAATATTTGAGACAAGCTATGCTCAAGCTCCTTAAAGCTTTTAAGAAGCACACAGCTCTTAATTCGTTTCGTACTCAAAATTAAACAAAACTGCATCTAATTTAAATATATATATATATATATAACAGATTTATTTTGATACAAAAACAAAACGTTCAAATTTCCTTTTAAATAAGTTGGTCAAAATAAGTCAAAAGATTGATGGCTTGAAAAATAACTTATTGGCGAAATATTTGGTGTTACGTCCTTGCTTTCTTATTATAACAATTAATAGAATAATTTCAATTGAGGAATCAGACTGCAGCTACAGAATTAGTTTCATGGCTTAACTTTAATCTTCAAAGGCTATTTATGAAATATACAAAAGAGGGCAGTCAAAATATTCCGGGATTTGCCCTAATATACGACTAGTTTTTTTCTTGTTTTTCTTTTTCAATTTCTGAATGAGCGCGTAAACAGCAAAAAATGTTTCGTGCAATTTTTTAAATTGAAATGGCCCGAAGCAAGCTTTTGCTTGAATACTTATTTAGACTGCCAATACTAGAACATCCTTAGATACAATTGATCGGAATTTGAAGAAAGTGACAGTGTATTTGTGTTCCGGCTTGTTTTTTTTCTCCAAAAAATTTTTGGACTCTTCAGCTAAAAATTTTTGGCAATATTTTGCATTCAGTCTGAAAGAGAGTTTCACCAAATACTTTCACACAGATAGGGTTTTTGAAAATTACCAATTTGACCATTTTGCGCTAATTTACTGTTACCAATTGTCGCTTGTTGCGAATTGTCGCCTGTTACGAACTGTCGCCTGTTACGAATTGTCGCCTCACGCTGCACAAGTATAGAAAAAGTTTGGTTCAATACTGTAGTTTGATACGCTTTATTTCTCGATCGGTATAAGATCGAATAAATTTCCCATATGCATAAATCTCCGGTTTAATATCCATTATCACTTGTGGCCATTATTTGAACAATGTTCAATATAAATCTCTTTTTTTCAATAACAGAATGAGATGAAGTTTTGCTAAATCTAATCATTAATTCATTTTTACACCACTTCCTTCTTTTGGGCTACAAATGGAGGCAAAATTTTTAATGGTCTTTTGCCACCGATACAGATTGGGGTAGATTAAGATAATGGCAGGACCATATAGTCCCTCTTTCAGATATCCATGATAACTATCTCTACTCCTTTAAACTTGTTCTCGTTCTCTTTCAAGCCACTTTGGCTGATATTGTGATAGGTTAATTAGCAGAAGATAAAAAGATCCGACGGGATTTGACCCAGTCAATGAAATGTAGACTTCACGACGCTAGATTAAATTAGGCTTTGATCCAAGTTGGGCCAAAATTTCGTACCAATTGTGCTAGACTTGGTCTTAATTCTGACTTTTATCATGAAATTCCTCGCTAATTTTCACAATCAGACGCTAAGCTAGATTCGATATGCAAGGTTATTTTTTCCGAGCCAAAGCCCATTTGGCGCGCGTTTTGAAATTTGACCATGAATGTTTGATAAATTTATGCAGAGAGCTTAAATAGGAGACAAATCCTATGACAATTTTTACTAATCGAAGTTATTTAATCAGTATATTTCGGTTCTTATTGATGGGCTTAATTTTCCCTGAAATGGATGACTAAATGAAACTTTGGGGATTAACTTTGTCGTCTAAGAGATTTGGTCATATTTCAGCGAATAAGTCTCAAATTTCACTCAGTTTCAGTCTGTGAACAAACTTTAGCCTAGTCTAGACAATTAAATCGCACGGCAAGGAAATGAAAATGGCAAACAAATTCTTCGAAGGCACCAATTTGATGTTGCGCTGCCAAAAAAAAATCACGATTAAATAAATTTAGAAAAAAGTTTTATTTCAAACTTGGCGATTGAGTGCAAAAACAAAGGTACAACAAGACTGCTCGTATCAAGGCCGAGCCCTGATTGTTCCGACTGCCTTTTAAGGTTTTATGGAGAAGTAATTACATTAAAAAATTAAATGTAATAAAATGAAATGAAATTTTTTTTTTAAATTTGAATATTTTTATGAAAATCATCATTAAAAAAAAGAAAAGATTTCTTATCTCTTTATGCATTTTGATAGGAAATAATTAGGATGATTTTATTTTTTTTGTTGCTGAAAGAGAAAACAAATTTGAAGAGAAAACAAATTTGAGAATAACTGCAAATGCAATGTAAAACACAGAAAAACTTTTTTCTATTAACACGCCATTTAAAGTACAAACAAATAGATTTAGCTCCTTGTAACAAATCAAATATGGCAAATAAGCTTCTTTCAACTAATTTGGAACGATTTTAAGACGGATTAACTCTCCGCTTACGCGTTAATAGCGCGAAATATATCGCGCGTTAATTGTCCCAAATTGGCCAAAATGGCAATCTTTAAACCCCCATAACTTCACGAAAAATGATCACAGGTGAAATATCTCTTCAAATTTGAGCTCAGGTCAACAATACCTTTTGAATGATATTAAAAAATTTCGTCAAAAATGGCTAGTTAAAAAGTCGAAATTTGTCTGAAGAAGAAAAAAAACCCACCCCGAGCACAACTATTCCGTTACTTTCGTATCAAAAGTCGGAACAATAATCAATCATATAATTTTCTGCTGAATTAAATAGTCTTAAACGTAATGAAAAAAAAGTCAAGCAAACTGAATTGTATCATTGGTTTGATATGGGATTTATTTTTCATCTTGTTGATAATGTCGAATTTGATGCTGGATTTAAATATAAGTATATGAAGTAATGACTCAAAACCGCTCTCACTTTCTTCTAAAATTTAAGCCCAATTACAAAACTGACGAGATGAGTTCGAAGACTAGAAGTACTTCTATGAAAAATATCTGAAAATATTATCTTCTCATTTGATCATAAATTTTTTGAAAAGACAGGAAAATCTTTTAAACAATGTACAAAAAAGAATACTTTTCTACGAAATACGTTTTTATATGCATCGAAACGGCAAGCAATTAATTCCGAAGCTGAATGTTACCACCATGTTATTTTACAAAAAGAAGAAAACAAATGACGTGGTTGTACGATACCAATCTGTTTATCGGCAACCAGCGTGAAACTTGGATTTTGCTTGAATACATTGTGGCCTGTTGGCTTTTTGGAAAAATAATTTTTTATCCCATTTGGATAAAACACACCAAATTTTATAAAATCTAACTTTCTTCAAGAAAATTTTTTTATCAAGACTATCATGCGTTTTGTTGATTAAATTGACAAAACGTTTTTTCATTTTGGAGGAAAGTTGATTTAATGATCTTATATGAGGGTTAATAGCATTTGTTTTGCATAAATCTACTCACTTTTTTTTCCAATTTTCGAAAAATTGAGAAATATATAATGCTGGGATTGATTTTTGTTATTCAGACCAATTTTACAAAAACTCTGGTCCCTCGCGAGACCAATCTAATAATCTGCATGTGCCCAGCCGAGTGTGCACGCCACTACTGTATTCTGCCATGAATATGTCTAAGCTGTTCGTTTTGCAGGACGAATTTACTTAACTGGCAAATTATCCCGCACTTCAACAATGATCCGAATTGAAATGATTTAACTATTTGTTTTTATTAATTCCATACAAAACTCGAATTATATCACTTATGGTCCACCAAAAATTCATAGTTTTGCCTATACTTAATTTACCAAAAACTATTGGAGATCAATTACACTGCATGCAGAACATTGCCTTGATACAATCAGCCTTGTTAACGGTTTCTTGACAACAGCAATATGAAAAAGGAAACGACTTTGCTGTATTTTCAATGTACCGGGTAAATTTTGTTAGATAAGAGCCAGTTGATGAATTAATCAGTTCGAGTTTACGAGAATGAGGGGGACTCAGATCAAATTTTTACCCTCATTAAATAAAACCACATTAGTTGACCATTTAATTTTTTTTGTTACTTTCATGTAATTTTTGTGAACTTGTCTTGTCTCTCAGAAGGACATAAGTACTTTACTACCCTGATTTCTTTCGAAGTTTGGTGTTTTGTTATAAGCTAGCCTTTTTTTAGATATTTCAACATTGCGTTTTCGAATTCCATAAAGTTCACACTACCTACCTAATTGGGTTTTTCTACATTTTTGTTCAAACAAAGTGCATTCAGTTTCTTTTCCATGAGCATCTCTTTCAGCAACAAAAAAAATAAAATCATCCTAATTATTTCCTATCAAAATGCATAAAAAGATAAGAAATCTTTTCTTTTTTTTTAATTGGAATTGGCGTTCAAGCATTTAAAATAATGATCAAAAAGCGTATAATTTTAAGCACAATGTTGTTTGAATTTTGTATTTTGCTCGTATCGGGCCGAAGCGCTCGATGCTTTGACTGCCCCTTTAAGTTTCTGTAGTAGTTTTTACAATTAAAAAATTGAACAAATTTTCCACAAAAAAAGTGTATTTTTTAAGATTTTTGTTTTGTGAAAATTCTTCCCCTACGACGTTCTGCACTGTGACGAAATTTCATTTAGGAAAACTGTAGAACAATCAGTAGAGGCAATAAACGCAAAGGATCTTTGGAGTGAAATGTTGTACAGTGGTACTTGATCACGTATTTCAGAAAAAGATGGCCAATAACTCGAAATTCATTTTTTAAAATTCAATATCGAGGTTTCAGAAAACATACACGGTCTCATATCTAAGCATCTATTGCCAAATTACCAAAAAAGTACAGAAGTCAATTTTCACTCCTTGTTGCGTGTGCCTTTTTGAAGTAAGCTGAGCAAAGTTCAAGCAAAAAAAAAATACTCAAATTCATATAGTGTCTTAGTTTTTTTTAACATTTTTTGTTTTCCTCGCAAAGTCAGTCACCACAAATCATCTTCGAAATCTTTGAGTGATATTCCATTTTAACAACTTTTCAGTCGCGATTCGAACGGCTTCAAAAACTGCGAAAACTTTTTTCTCAGTTTCGAGAAGAACCAGTTGGAAGTTATTGATTTTTGGTCTAATATCAAGCTGATAATTGAGCGATCAAGCTTAGAATAGCTTATCTTTGCGTAATTAAAGCCGTGAAAATTTAGTATATTCGATTAAAGTTAGTTTTTAGATTTTTTTAGCGCCATTTTGGGAAAAACGCAATCAAAAAGATTCTGAAAAAATTTATTATAAAGAATTTAAAAAATTTTGTTGAAAATTTATTATAAAGAATTAAAATTTTTTTTTGTTTTTTTTTGTGATTTTGTTGCGAAAAAATATATTTTTCAGAGGGGCTTTTTTTAATATGACTGTCAAAGTTGCCTAAGTTTTATTTTTTTGTGAAATTTTTTATCTTGAAAAACTACCCTAATTAAAAAAAAAATTTCCTTTTTTAAAGACTATGGTCGGAACATTCAGTGGTAGTTACATAGAAACCGGCTAGCTTCGTTATATGTATAGATCTGAACTTTTTGTGATACGTCTGGCGCATAGTTTCAATTTTTTTGCACAAAATTCGATGATCAAATGAGGTTCTTTTTTTGGTTATTTGATATTTTTTTTGACGCAAAAACTATTTTTTTATATTTCATACAACTCACAAGAACAGCAAACTCATTACTTTCATTTGCGTAAATTTTTTTTAATGGTTTCATTTTGTTTCTTTTTTTGTTCAATGATTTCTATCTCTTCTCTTTGGGGCATTTTTCCTTTGTTTATTAAAAATCAATATTGGTCCGGTCAGTGAGGTTTCATCTCTGGTTTATTTACAAACATGTGGCTTAATTGTGACTGACTGCTTCGGTGAAATCTTCTTAGACAAAAGAACTCATGAAAAATTTGTTATCAAATCATCTTATTAATTTTTCTCTTTCATGTTTTTGTTGCTTTTTATTGTGGTATAAATTCTAATCTCAGCAGAGCTTTTAATGGTACCGGTAGATTTGCTTTCCTTTACTTTTTATTTGATGATGAATCTGCTCGAATTTTAAACCTTGTAGCCGCTTCGCAAAATTGTCTCATGTTGTATTATAACTTTGAGTGTTTTCTAGCAATCGAGGATGAAGTGGTTTGAAAGTGTACGATGGATTTAATACAATTTGAAATATTGATCTTGCATCGCTGGAACAAGAATTTTTTTTAGCAATTGAACACATTTTAATTATTTGTTTTTCGGAAAATGCGAATCTTAAAACGCATAGAAAGCACTTTGAGACTCAATATAACTTCTACTTGCGGGCAACTGACGTGCGGGTTGGAAACCTTCAGGTTCTCATTAAGTTTAATAGATCCCTGTCAGCTTCCTGGCTTTTCAGGTTTAAACTCAGCTCTACGAAGACAATCCATAGCCAGAATATTAATATTACAAAGACTAAACTAGCAGTCAAAAGAAACATTCTCCATACTCTAAGTTTATATTTTGATAGGAGAATGTCAAGAAAGAAACTATATGGGTCACTTTACGTCAAGTTGGGAGTTGTTGATATTCACGACAGGGGTGAAGTTTACTAAGCATACAATTAACATACTACGCATACGGACTGTGGTTACACAAGGATAACAAAAACAAACTTCCTTTTGGTTTTGTAAATAGGCAAACTCACAGATGGAGTCTTTTGTCTATGCCTGATTTACTTAAGCTGCCTTCATTCATCGCCACTCGTCTTTGATTCCCAATCATTTCACCCCTCCAAACACATACACAAAAAGGTAGTCAAATGCATTCAGGAGAAGTTACGCGAAGAGAATACGGGAGAGCCCATAATTTGAATGCCCATTTTTAAAATTAAATTGTCAACTTTAGAACAATTTCCGTGGTGTCTTTTGGTGTCACTTGAAAAATGAAGAGGCTAAAATTCCTATGGGCGTATTTGATTTCTATTGTTGCGTGGGTTGCAATTTTCCATCTCTCTTGTGATTTCAGGCTATTATCTTCACTTTTTGTTCACTTTTAAGCACACTATCAATTTTTTTTCATAAAAATCGCGACTTTCTTGCTTGTTCAAACTTTCTTTTCACGCTTCCACAAAGGGTGGAGCAAATCAAAGACAAAAGAAGAGTGAAAATTCTCTCTTAATTTGAAAACGCATTCCAAGATTTCCTTTTGGCTATTATTTCAGGGATCATTTATCAAAAGTGTAAATTTGCGTCACTGGGAATATACTGAAGCAACTAAAGCCATTAAGATTTACCAAATTTAGGGTAATTGTTTCACGCCAGGACGTGTCTAAAATGCAAGTTCACCAACTGATGAAATTAATTATCGCAGCTTGAACTTCAGGGTGCCTTTGTTATGTTTTCACTTTAAACTAAGGAGTAAATAATGATCTAACGAAAAAATCCGTGTTTCCATTTGAATGTGAACACAAGCAAGTACCTGGGGGCTTAAGATTTTAATAGCAGTATTCGAACTAAGTCTTTTTGATGATTGACTATGTCTACAAATTGAATTTTCGTAGCAATGTTTATTCTTCTGAACTGCAATGTAAATACCAACCGTTTTCCTTATTTTCTCGTCAATTAGAAAAAAGAACACGGAACTCAAATGTTGTCAAATAAAGGGTAAAAACGAAGGTTTGATACTCGATTTATCAAAACGTAACGAAAAGTAAAACTGATCAAAGAAATGAGCCTAAAAATAATTTTTTTGAAAATCTACAAGAAAAAACCACCTTTTTTAATTACGATTCTTCTTACATCGTTTTTGGAAAAACTTGGCTTGATAATTCGTGAAATGTGTTTTAGCGTTCCATGCTATCAACTGTGCTCAGAGTCCAAAACTGGAGGTTATATGTGCACCCAAGACGATAGCAAACGAGGGAACCCAGGCGAATCTGGAGTGTACTTACACGGTTCCAAATGACGTCAAGGTCAAAGGTGTCACCTACGACCACAACGGGGTAGGTCAAGGGTTCAGTCTTTTTGTTGATTTCTTAAATATGTTAGCCAGTTCAGATTAAGTGTTTGGAGTTTTGCGGTATACTAACAGATTATTGCATTATTAGCAGTAATCATGGTACGTTTTCTTGAACTGTCATGATGCATGTTTTACTTTTTTTTGGTTCAAATCCCTTGAAGTTATCAAGAAAGGTATAGTTTTTTAATTTACCGTGTTTTATCAGCATAGTTTTTTTTACTTGACAATTCAAGAACATTTCATTTGAACTTAGGAAGTTTGGTTAGCACTAAGAAACAAGAAAATTGGAGGAGCGTTTCTGTTCAAGACTTCTCTTCTGTAAAACTTCTAGATTTACCACCGCAGGTGCAAATAATTGAGCAATATTCCAATGATGTTACTTTTTTGCATGATTGAAATTCATTTTTAATAATTGAGTCAGTCCAAAAACGAGGGTGAAGTGCTTCCTTGTTCACGCTGGGCGCCTGAAAAGGTAGCACCACGTGATCAAATGGATGAGTGTCAATTAAGGACTTGTGTGCTTCCGGCGGGGCAGGTTGTTGACTGGTAGCTGAAGCTGAGCAAATAGATTTTCACACCTAGAAGAATCCTATCTATCTTTCCATTCACACTTCGCTATTTGATTTGGATTGGAGCTGCGATCGTTTTTCCTTTACTTTTCACAGACCGCTCTAAGATAGAGAGACTGATAAACGGGCTTTTAGCCCTGCAAATAGCGAGTGTGTGTTAGACTGAAAGGTGTAGATAAGCATGAACGAATTCTGAAGGAGTGAAGAGAGTGTCTGCTATATTTATCAGCAAACAGGGTGAATGGAGGGATGGGAAGCACTTGGCTCTATTTGAGGACGCTTCTGTGGCAAGAGAAAATATCGATTATTGATTCTTTGTTCAAAGTGAAGAACGTATAATGCTTCAAAGTAGGCAACACTTTCTCGAGATTTTGACAGAAACAGACTAGAGCAAACATGGAAAACTCACAAGGTCGGAGACATCTGGCTTAATCTATCGCAACAGAAGGGTAGCAGAAAACAAAATCCACAATCGAAAGTCTCAAATAAATTTTTTTATTTGGCTATAAAAATCCCCTCAAGCCAACATTTGTTATTGGTTATATTTCGAATACGGGATCAAAAAACATCTAGGAAACAATTAAAGTAATCAAAGGACCTAAGAAGTTAAGCCCTATTTAGAGGCTGGATGTTGTTTGGTAGACTACTCTAGATCGCGGATCTCCTTAATGGTTACTAGATTTATTTTTCATTTACGCTTAACTGCGTTCAGTTAGTCCTCAAGTTGTAGAAATTCGCTACTGGGAAATAGAAGAAGATTATTAAAAAGTTCACAGGTCTCAAGTCTGTTGAAGCGAAAAATATATAAATCTTGTTGAGCAGTCCATATCAAATCTTTTAAAATAGAAAGTGCTAGAAAATAGTTTGAATTGAGCTTAGTTTTTGGGCTAATTGAAGCTATAAAATTCTCGTTTATTGACCCTGAAAGCCAACCCTACCAAAGTAACGGGCCACCAAGAGTGTTTAAATGAAGTAGTTTGACGGTTTTCGCCGAGAAATAAATGCCACGAGATCCCAGATAGATAAATACTTCCTGATATCTTATCCTTTGTAGAATTCAGGGTTCATTTACAGTGGATTCCAATTTTGCGAGTTTATGAAAAAAGCTAACAGACACCCACTGATTATTACATTGATCATTTAATTTTACCCAGGTTAACTGTAAAAATTCTTTTTCAACTGAAATCATTCAACCTATCATCGAAACTTTTCCCACACAGCTTCTATTTGTGTTTGGGGCCGGCGAGGGGGGCAACCGGAAACTTGCATATCCATTCCATCATACGCCTTGATTGATGAAAAGAAAATATTGGATAATTAGCATCCGAACTGAAGGTTTAACGGAACTACCATTACCCTAACGACCTAATTACAGTTTTTTTTGTGGCGAATGCTAGGAAAATAAATATAGTACGTAGAATGAAATCAAGTAGTCTGTTACTTTTTCATTTTATGCTTTTTGGCGTATAAATATAATAGTTTCATTTCATAATGTAGGCAAACTGTCAAATAGTGGATCAATCTTTTTTTTTCAAACTCAAACTTAGTATGATAATAATTGTTTAAAAATTTTGGGAAAAAAGTGAAACGTTGCTCAAACTTAGTACCATAATGATTGTTTAGCATGCTAATGAAATCTAGTATAATTATGAAAACTTTCTCAATCTAGTATGATGATGATTGTTTAAGAAACTTCGATAAAAAGTAAGTTTTGTGAATTGAGAGGCAAACTTTGAAACAAATTCATAAGAGTTTTGAGCACAGCTCGATTTTGTACATTTTTTAATTTTTTTTTCAGTTATGCACCGTTTCAAGTAAAAAAAAGAGCTGCCCCTTAATTTTATTAAAACCACAAGGTAGAGACAGCATCAATTCCAACGTTGCATAAGCTTTAATCCCAAATGATAAAGTAATTTTTGCATTTTTAAAAATAAATACTGTTCAGTTTATCTTATCAGCTTTTGGCTCTCGTTGTGAAAATTGACTGACAGCTGAAAAACATCCCCTTGCAAATTGGGGTCTGAATCTTGATTACAATTGGCATCAAATGATTGCTACCCGTAGCCCATATGTTCTGCCCCCAAATTCTGATTGACTTGTTAACACTACATAATCATATCTCCAGCAATGGAGCGAACGAATATCAAAATAGCCCAAAGCGCAAGCAGTTAAGTGGAAAAATACTCCCCGGAATAACAGATAAAGATTTCCGCAAAATTTTCTCCCTAAATTCAAGTTCTTCCTCCATTTAAGGTACTCTCATGGTTAATTCCCCCCATTATGAGGTGTATTGGGAATTTTCCCTGTAAAGGAGGTTTTTTCCATGTTTTCACAAAATGGCCGGGGATAAAAGGTGATCTAATTATTTCTTCACAATAAACTCTGAAAATGTAATCTCTTCTGAATATTTGATTTTTGATACAACACACATATTCACTGAATAAATACCGAGGTCATCACTAGATTGGTAGTTACCTACTATTATAGTGTTGTTTGTTCCAGTAACTAGCCTCCTATTTATTTTCTGTTCATCAGGCAATCGTCTCAATAAGGAATTCTTACCAACCGGTGAGATAGGATTTGTTCACTTATTCCCCTTTCTTTTCAAGCCGCATGCCATCTGTCAATTACAGGCTTCATTCGAATTGCATAACAAAAGAGTGACATGACGCGCACACAAGTATATGAGATATGTGCTCTGCAAACATGTTAGCCCAAGGGCAGGAAAGCAAAAAAGTGGGTGAACTGAATAACTATATTTACGACTGAAATCAGCTTCCAATCTCAAAGAAATCCCATTTGCGCGTCCTCAGAATAAGAATTAAGAGCAATATTAGTCAGTTTTTTTCGTTTTTCTATCAAGGAAAAGTTATGCAGTTTACTGCGACATTTCAGTACGCATTTCATTAGTGAAAACTATAATATTTTGACGAACTTTAGTTGTTTATCAGTTGAAAATTTTAGATCAAAACTGAACCGCTATTGATAAAATTACCACATGCCTTTTGTTGAAAAATACTCATAAGGCACTTAACGACACAAGGTAATTTGAAAGAGAGGTAAGAAGTCAACTTTAGCTATGAGCTGTCACCGTTGCCACTGGTGATCCGTGAACACATGGCTAACAATCATGTTGACCTTTGCTACTAATTGCAAGTTACATAATACAGAATAACGTAATATGCCTATGCCTAATACCCGTCTCCATTACACTACGCTCCAACTAATTCAAAATCAGTATATGGATTCAATCAAACTGCTACATTTTTAAATTTCAAGCTATAAAATTTCACACTTAAGTTTCTGTCTAAAGTAGGTTTAGCCCCTTTCTGGCCAAGTTTTGAAATTATTATTTCGAAAGATTCTCAAGACGCTCAAGTGTTTGTCACTAGTCTTCTTCGGTCATACTAATGGCCGATAATTTGACAGCTATTTCTAGATTATCAGTAGCTAGCGCTCCACTAGAGTCTCCACTTATGACCGCGAGATCCACCGTGCCCTTAATCATCGTGACCTTCGGGTCCTCCTGATCTTTCGTGTTCTGTGGCAATATATTCATAGCCGGTGGCAATATCTGGTCTGTCGTTTCTACCTCAGGCAACTCTTCTATCGTTTGCGCCCCGGGCGCTGCTAGAATCTCGTCTCCTGATACCTCTCTGGATGTCATCGGTTTTATCTGTCTAGCTCTGTTTTAAATTTGGCATTCGAGTACCTAGTTTAAGGTCTTCAATCTGAAACAATCCATCTTTGTTTCTTGTGCAACCGTAATTGGAGGCACCACTTTCGCGTGCTTCACGATCTTCCTCATTTTACCAAGGACGTCCACAAAGTGTACTGAAACTTCTTTGTCTAAGATCTGAGCATCGTCCTGAATATAGTCCGTTCCCCAATGAAAGCGACCCATTTAACGGTTAAAATGTCTCTTATCAGTTTTTCGCTTTTTTGGCCTCGGACTTTTATTAGGACAAACTGGCCCTTTCTTGAGACTAACTGGGCCTTTCTTTGAAAGCTAAGCTCCCCGCCGTGCACTCTTCCCCTTGGTCGATTAGTCTTCCGCAAACTTGATGGTGCCGGTGTTACCAATGGCAATTCATTTTGCTCGTTCTCTGAACTTTCCTTTGTCGTTACTGTCAAAGGTGATACTTTACGCTAACATTATAACCTCTAAATTATATTAAACTCTGATCTATGTCTATGTTAATTTAAAAATACCGGCCAAAAGCCCAACGGCTTTTGGTAGATCTAGAGAGATTGTTCGTTGTCTAATTTTGATATGGAACCAATCTGACGGAACTAATCTTAATTTAACCTTTTTGTTACCTCTTAACTTTAGCGTAGTTACCTTAGTCTTTTATTTAGTCTTAAATAAAAGCCTACAACTAAACGTAGGAATCTTAACCCGACCTGTCTTAAA